GAAAAGATGTTGAACTTCATAAGTTATCAGTGAATGTAAATTATAACCACAATGATATATGACTTACACACTTTTTAGAATGGTTAAAGAGAAAATGGTTTTGAGGATACAAACTATACTTCTCATATATTCATGATAGGAATATAAAATGGTACAGCCACTCTGGAAAAGAGATTGGAAATTTCTTTTGAAGTTAAACATATATTAACATACAAACCAGCAATTGCCTTCCTGGATATTTATCCCAGAGAAATGAAAACCTATGTTGGCACAAAAGCTCATACAATAATTTTCATAGCAACTGTATTAATAATATCCCCAAACTGAAAACAACTCCGATGTCCTGCAATGGGTAAATGGTTAAACAAATTGTCCATATCATGGAATACTGCTCTGTAATGAAATTAACAATAACGTAAATGGACCTCAGGGGTATTATGTGTGGTGAATGACAAAAAAAAAAAAAAAGAATCTTGAAAGTTCACATACTGTACAATAGTGTTCATATAACATTTTTGAAATAACAAAATTATAGAATGAATAGATTAATGGTCGCCAGAGACTAATTGGGGTGTGGCATATGTATGATTATACAAGGATGGCAAAGGAGTTCCTGTGTGCTGATGGAATAGTTTTGTATCTCAATTATGGTATTGAGTACATAAATCTATACCTGTGCTAAAATACATAGACTAATACAGATATGAATGCATGTAAAATCTGGTAAAACTTAATAAATTCTGTAGTCTATTTAGCAATATTATACCATTGTCACTATTTTGATTTTGAAGTTGTACTACAATTAAGACCTTATCATTGGAGGAAAATGAGTAAAGGGTGCATGGGACTCTCTGTACTATTTTTTGCAACTTCCTGTAAGTCTATTATTATTACAAAATTAAAAACGTGAATTTTAAATAAAGAACTAGGAAGTATGATACCATTTATGAACTAAGAAAAGGGTGACAAAGAGAAAATCTGAGGAGAATAAAATGATCTGAGAATTTTTTCATGCCAACCTTAAACATAAGTCCCTTTTCTTTCCTTTTCTGTGCTTCATTTTCTTCATATATAAAAAGAGATTAGAGTAGATGACCACCAAGATTTCTTTTAGTTCAGTATTCAGTCCTTTTTAAAATGTCAATATCACAAGGAATAGCAATATGAATGAAAGGTATCACTTTCCCAGTGGCACCAATCTGGCTTACCTTTATCAGAATATTAAATTTCAGTACAACCCTGTAGCCTCTTCTGGACTCCAGAGTCTACATTTTCATTCATAGCCAAGACTGATGGGAATAACATACTTGTTCTCTCCTCTGTTTTCTTCTAAACATGCAACTTACTGCTTTCTGACCTCTACCCACATCATGCCATTGAAATCACTCTCCTACCAAAATTATCAATGACTTCCACAGAGTGAAAGCCAATAGATGCTTTTCCTGCTGGGTGTGGCGGTACACGCCGGAAATCCCAGTGACTCTGGAGGCTGAGGCAGGAGGATCACAAATTCGAGGCCAGCCTCAGCAACTTAGCAAGGCCCTATCTCAAAATGAAAAAATAAAAAGGGCTGGGTGTGGGAAGCCATTCTCACACGTGATTGGGCACCTCCCTGATTGAGTGTGAGGCGTTCTGGCTAAACTGTCGAACTAATCCCCACCCTCTCCTGGTGCGAGGGCCTGTCCGTGTGGGGGTGTGACTGACCATTGATCCTGAGACCAATCACTGCCCCTGACCTTGGAATGCTGTCCCCCTCGACCTTCATTGGATGGAATTTTCCCCTGAATTTCTTGTTCCCCAATAAAAGGCCACTCCCTGGCGTGCTCTCTCTCCTGCTAGTCCTGAGTAAGCCTCACTGCCTCACCAGGTGGCTCCAGGCAGGAGCCAGAGGGAGGGCCATCTCAGACCTGGTCAAAGAAAAAGGTAAATTGAGTCTGTGTGTTTATTTTGATCTCACTAGTTAACTTCTATGCTTCA